TGGCATCCACATCGTGGACGTCGACAGGAGACGACAGCCAGTCTTGGACGAACGAGGCCTCCGCTGCAGCTTCCCGGTCCAGGCGGGTAAGCGCCCACCGCGGGAAATGCGACCGACCCTCGCGCGCCCTAGGAGAGCCCTGGGTGGAGATGTCGAACCGCACATATCGGTGGTCAGACAAAGTCTCCACCCGCTCCACCCGCCAGTCCACTACACGAGCCGCCAAAGAAGGGGAGGCAAAGGCGAGATCAACGATGGAGCCCCCCTCCCGCCGCACGCAGGTGTGGACTGTGCCTCTATTTAGGAGGGACAGTCCGGATGAGACGGACCAGGTCTCCACCTCGCGTCCTCGTGCATCGGTGGTCGGGTTGCCCCATGTCACCGACTTGGCGTTGAAGTCGCCCACGACAAGCACCCGCCGCTGCGCCACTCTACCTGCCACTCTGGTGAGACCGTCGAGATAGTGCTCGAACTCCGAGAGAGGGCGGTTTGGGGAGAAATACACCCCCACAAGAGCTATCTCTCCCCATGCGGCGGCCACGTATCCCGGTCCCCTCTCTAAAAGCGAGAGGGGTGGGGAGTCCGTGGAAGACCGCGTTACCAATGCCACCGAACCGTTATCGTCACCCAGCCAGTTGCCAGGGACAGAGTACGGCTCGGCGACAACCGCCACGTCCACCAACCACTCCGCAAAGGTTTGGACCAGCAGGTCCTGGGCCGCTCTGCAGTGGTTGGTGTTCGCCTGAAGAACACGTTGATGAAGTCCAGCCATTATTCCGTGTTCATTGCGCTTTCCTCGGAGGCCGGCACTGGAACTGGGGTTTCAGTGGCGGCGGCAGCAGTGGCAGGTCGCACCGGCGCCTGCACTTTGCCCTTCTTCAATGGCGGACGGCATTTCCTGCCCGTCATCACATGGTCAGCTGGACGACCATTGGCAGCACATACAGCGCAATGCGCAGCAGAAGCCTTGCAGGTGGCCGACCTGTGCCCCATCTTTCCGCAACGGAAGCAGAGCTCCTTGCGCTCGGCAGACGACGGACAGAGAGCCCGGGTGTGACCGATCCCGAAGCACTTGAAGCAGCGCATCGGCTCGTCCTCAAGCGCTCGGACCCCACCCGAGCTAAGCCCCACTGGCAGGCGACCCTTGGCGAGGACTGCCTTGGCACATGCGATGGGACACTCCAAACGCATCGTGCCCATACCCCCGCGGCCTGGTCTAATGGCGCGTCCCTTGATCGATTCGACGGCGCAGCCCCCCGCCGCCGCAATCGCGGCTGCCACCTCTTCTTTGGTGACTGTGTCGTCGAGGTCGGTCACCTCAAGAGCCACACATTTCACCGGCCTCACGACCTTGGCCGTGTCCGTGACAGCCTCCCTTAATTTTGAGGCAAAGAGGTCCGCCTTGGTGCCGCCTTGAGCCCCGGAGAACTCGAAAATACGAGCCCCCGTTTGGGTCTTCCGGCACGTGACCCTACCCGCCCCGAGTTGTGCAGGGTCGACGTTGGCACGAGCCCGCCGCAACACGGACTCGTACGTCTCCCCTCGCTCCGCTGCTTCTGGGGTCAGCGTGACCACGACGGCTGCGCTTTTCGGAGGAAGAGGGAGTTTCTTCCTCTTTTCCACTGCGGCTGCAGGCTTGGCTGCAGGGGGCTTGGGGGCCACTTTCTTCTTCCCCTTCCGCTTCCTCGGCACCACCTTTGTCCAAGGCTGGTTGGATAGGGTGGTTGAGGGCAGGAGTGGGTCCTCTCTCGGAAGGTCCTGAGGGACCGTCTGGGCAGTCGGGGCGGCCGGGGTGGTCTTCTTCCCCTTACCCTTTCCCTTGCCCTTGGACTCCCGCTGGACTGGGGCCGTTGATGGACCCGGTGCGCTAGGGGTCCTCTCGGATACCTTATCCGCCGCGAGTGGAGGGCGAAGCCGCTTCTCCGGAAGTAGCCGGTCCTCGATGCCCGCGAAGCAGGCCCTGGTGAATGCCCTCTCCTCCATTACTACCTTGCGGATAATATCCTCAAGGTTCGAGGGGGCGGGCATCAGCGCTGGACCTTCCGATGTCCCCTCGGGCCGGGCCATGAGCTCGGCAACGCGCGCGTGCAACGCCGACACCTCTTTCTGCAGGCGATCCACCTTCGTCTGCAGTTGCCGCGTTTCGTCGGAGGTGGTGCGCTGCGCCAACTCCTTTACGATGCCGAGCAAACTCGCTGCCCGGCATTTCAGGGCCTTCTGAAAGGTCCCTTTCAGATTGGAGGACTTGGAAGCCACCTCCAAGATCTCAAGTTGATCCTCCAGAGCCATGCGCTCCATTTCCTCTACGGAATGGTCCGCGTAGAGGACGCTGGAGGCGCCGTAGCCAGCCTTGGCTCTAGTGGTTCGGGTCCGCTGCTCTTTGGCGGCGATTCTCTCCTCCAAGTCCGCCTGAATAACCGCCCGCTTTGGAGGCTTCTCCGCTTGGTCTGGAGAGCCTCTGGAGTCCTGCCTCAGGAACGCCCTCTTCCTCGACTGGCGAGTCGAACCACAGTTCGTACCACTTACGATGGACTCAGTGTCAGAAAGGTCCGACACGATGTCGCAGCCTCGAGTGAGACTCGCCGCAGATGGTGCGCGGCTGGTCTCAGATGCAGATGCATCCCGTGACTTGGATTGGCCCTGAGAAGGGCCTTTGGGTTGGCCCTGAAAAGGGCCTTTGGGTTGGCCCTGAGAAGGGCCTTTTGGGAGAAAACGCCCGGAGGCGTCCCTCAAGGGTTGTGGCATTGCCACCAACAATATCGAGAGCTCACGACAACTTAAGCAACCGATTCACAGCGTTCGTTAGCCGCCGGCCTGCCACTCCGTTACGGTGGTCAGGCGCGACGTTGCCCAGGGGTCACTACGAGGAAGTCAACGCTGTGGGGGGACCCCCAACCTAACCTAACCTAACCTAACCTAACCTAACCTAACCTAACCTAACCTAACCTAACCTAACCTAACCTAACCTAACCTAACCTAACCTAACCTAACCTAACCTAACCTAACCTAACCTAACCTAACCTAACCTAACCTAACCTAACCTAACCTAACCTAACCTAACCTAACCTAACCTAACCTAACCTAACCTAACCTAGTGAAATTTTGTTACTTTTTTTTTTTTCTTTTTTCGACCTAGGGCTTTCAAAATTCATATATAGCTTCAGCGTGTAGTACACAATAATTTGGATAGGTTTTGTTCTTCAAAATTCGTTACCGTCGGCGAAAAATCGCCCTTAACGACAAAATTTCGGTGAGAAAACTGGTTTTTCAGCTGAAACTCGAAATTTCTTTCTACATCGACTTGGGATCTTCCGAGACGCGTCTTTTGAGGTATCGCACGCCCCGATCGGTCGACTAAACTGAAAAAATATCTGCTCCGCGTAACGAAAGCTTTATAAATCTACGCGTTGAGTTACACGAAGTGACCAGTGGAATTGTATAGTGCCAAATCACCGGGTTCTGTGTGGGCAAGTTTCTACATCATTGGGTTAAGACACAGTAAGACCGGGACTTTTGGTTCGAATTAAAACGCCGAGACAACAACCATGAACCTACCAACATAAATTCCGGAAGAAGAATTCCAGATCCAAATCCGTCGACACCTGGATCATTAAAATCGGACAAGGGGTATCGGAGTTATTTACCCTATCTACTACTACTAACCTAAGGTACTTTATAACCTCATTTTGGCACCGCGTGTTTCTAAAGACACAAGGCGTGACGTAAAGCTGGTCATTCAGCCTTATCTAGAGACTCCGATGCCGTCGTTCGTTCATCGTTCCAAAAGGTTACTTACTAATTATGAGATAACTCATTTATGTATACTATAAAGGGTATAGGACCTAATGTTGAGCCCTGTGGTACGCCCATAGATATGGTAGCACCCCGCGTGTTCCCTTTTTATACTTGTACTCTGACCTGCATAACCAGCAGGTATGATTAAAAAAATGATATGATCAAATTACGTAGTGTTCCACCTTCAGCGACACTGTCTCGTGTTCAACGCATTCAAAAGCTTTGGTCAGATTACAAAATATTTCAGGAGCGCCGTCTAACTTCTCTTACAAATGGCAGATCATTTTGTTATTGTTTTTTTTTTTAACCTTGTCTCACTTTTGGAATAATAATTGCTTCTTTAACGGTGTGTTGCAAACACACACAATATATTATGAATGACACAGAGTCGCTCCATGCGGGGATTGAAACAACGACTCGTGGCGTGGCAGCCACAGCCAATAATAATGGGAAAAATACAATGACGTATTATATATAGACACGTCATGAACCAACATCGCGGCGCTTAAAAACGGCGAAAATACAAGATAACTACTTCTACGACTAAAGAAAGGGAAAGCAAATATGACATCGTATAGTAGAATGCCTTTGCTAGAGGGAGATAAATATACATCTTCAGTTATGCCGACGGCACGTGACTATACTTTCATGCGCCGGCCGCCATAAGATGGCGGGCGCCGGCGTCGAAAAAAATAAAATAAAAATAGGTTGTTTGGTGAACTTACGCATGAAATGACACATTTTTGTCTTAACTTTTGGAGTATAATTTGTACATCGTCTGAACACACACGACGGCATGCTTTCTTTAGTTTCGCACAGGTTTACACACACGATATAAATTATAACAAACGTAGCGTCGCGCGGGAGGTTGGTGCGTGACTAAGCGCGATGTTGTCAAATTGCCTTCATTTCATGTTGCCATTTTAGAGCGCGGACAACGTATCTATAGATTTATACATCATTGGAAAAATAGTAGACATTTGATATTTATATGACAAATTCGACAGAGAAAAGGGATTTGTCTAGCAAAATACTTTCTTAACATGTGTGGTCATTTAAACAGTTTGAAGTAAAAAAAAAAATGTCACAATTTGAACAATATTATATTTCTGTTAGCACTAGTACATTAACATCACACACACATATACACATACAAGTTATTCACATTTGTCCACAGCACACAGCGACATGGCGCCGCGTGACGCTCACAGCTCGGGGCGAGGATCGCTCGGCGGGTCACTGCTCGCTTGCTGAGTGCTCGCCTCCGCGCCGGAGTCCGGCTTGGGCTCGCCCTGAAATTACGAATTTAGTTTGTAGTGTTGTATTTTGGAATTAACTTTCCCAAGAGTAGCGAGGAGTCCTGGAGCGAGTGTAACCTTATCCTTGTCGACGTCGAGTGAGCTCCGCGACAGCTGGCGCAGAATGTTCTCGAAGATGCGCGGCGCGCTGCGCGTGTTGGGCAGCGAGATGTCGGTCTGCGTGGTGGCGGAGGCGCTGGAGGGCGCGGAGGGCGCGGAGGGCGCGGGGGGCGCGGGGGGCGCGGCGTCGTGCAGGTCGAGCGTCATGTTGTGCTTGCGCGCGGCGCGGGCGGAGCGCTCGATGGCGCGCGCCAGCACGGTGCCCAGCAGGTGGGCGCACTTGATGACGCCCTGCGTCTCGCGCGGCGACAGCGCCAGCCCCTGCTGGCGGATGACGCTGGCCAGCAGCTCGCGGTCGGGGGCGCGGCGCGGGCTGTCCAGCTCGGGCGGCAGGCTGGGCTCCGTGAAGTCGGCCAGGTCGAGCGTGTCGGTGCGGTACGGGGTGGGGCATTGGTCGTAGTAGCTCTGCACGGGCACGTGCGGCATCGAGTTGTTGTAGTTCGCCCAGAAGGAGCACCACTCGCCGTCGCAGGGCGCGCGCCCCGCGCCCCCCGCGCCCCCCTCGCTCCCCGCGCCCCCGCCGCTCTCCACGGCCGTGTCAGTCTCGCTACACTCCGGCCACGTGCTCACGCAGCAACTGCACACAAATAGCACACAGCGACAGCTGAGTCACAAACAACAATAAATTAAAGTGGAAAAAAACAATTTAAACACAAACAGTTAAACAATGATCTGTCACATGGCGCAGTGCGGTTGTCATAGATTTACATAGAACATGCACCTGCTGTTTTATTGACGAGGGAATATGATTAAATAGCTTCTCTCGGCCTCGCCCAGGGTGGGGCGAGTGGGTCTGTCAGACTTACTGAGTAAAAACTACATGTGTGTACCTGGAGACGAGCTGGTCCCGCGAGCCGCGCGACGGCGACAGCTCGGCGGAGGACTGGCCGGAGTACTCGGGGGACACGGAGGAGTAGTCGACCTCCGTAGGTGCGGGAGTAGGGGCGGGGGCGCGGCGCAGGCGGTGCGGCGCGCTCTGCACGGACGCGCTGCGGCCATGGGGGCGCGGGGGGCGCGGGGTCGACGTCGCCAGCGCCTGGATCTATAAACACACAAATGTCCAGTGGGATTTGGGGCGACCAAGGTATCCATGGAAAGACGTCTACAGGGACAGAGACAGGAAAAAAATCGACGTCGGCCATTGTCAATTGGGTAGTTTGAAATAGTTTCCTGTGTCAAAAAGAACACAATACATTTCTATACAAAAAAAATATTGAAAACTAACTACCTACACTTTTATTCCTGGATCTGTGAATATAAAAAATGTTCTATACTTAACACTATGTCGTTATAATTAGGAGTCTCATAGAAAAGTAAGTATCGTTTCTCACATTTGGATAAAAGTATTCAATTTGACTAGTTGGAAATTGACCGCATTGATGACAATTCGAGTTGTGTGGTAGATCCTCGTGTGTGTTCACAAGTACTGACCTGTGACAGGTCGAGCGACAGCTGTTCGTCGAGCGCGGCGTCCCGCGTGGAGGGCGCGGCGGGGGGAGGGGGGCGCGGGGCGCGGCGGGGGGACTCCGTCAGCTTGCGCGGCTTGCTGGCGCCGGCCTCCGACGACAGGCGGCGGTGGTACGCGCCCGGCAGCGAGCTCGCGCGGTCACTCCTGACACACATTACGGACGATGTAAGAGAAACTGTATTAGTTGCGTGGACCGGTGTGATACACGGCCTCACAGTGGACACACGGCGTCATACTACCACAGCCGTTGTGTTTCGCCGTGTGAGTGAGGTTACCGGAGGCCCAATTTTTTTCCTCCCCAATTTCAAAATCTCCAAATCCCTTTATCCCCAAAAGGTCGGCAATGCACCCGTAACTCCTCCGTCGTTGCGAGTGTCTATGGCCGGCGGTGATTGCTTACCATCAGCTAATTCCAAACTGCAGCGCTGCGCTGCTTCATAGAACAGTTCTATCAGTTGTGAGGATACTGGAAGCCCATTAACCAGCAACGCACTTGTACCTCGTCTGGTGTTGCGGGTGTCGATGTTGACTGTAATTCCCCACCATAAGATAAAGTATGTTGTGCTTACTTCTTGAGTATCTGCTTCCCAGTGACGAGGAAGTCGAGTTGGTGCGGCTTGTTGCGGCGCGGGGAGGCGGCGGCGGGGGGCGCGGGGGGCGACAGCTCGCGCGGCAGGCTGGCGCGCCGCCCCGACGAGCGCCGGGAGGAGCGCCGCGAGGGGGACTCCTCCTCCGGCCAGCGCTCCGACCGGTACATCTGAAGCGGGGATGTTAATGAGTTCCGTAACCTTAACCGAATCTATAGGTACTGTACTAATATTAAAAAAGCAGTAAAATTTGTAAGTTTGTATGTAGGGGGTAATCTCTGGAACCGCTGGTCGGATTGCCAAAATTCTTTCACTGATAGATAGCTACAATGTTCCTGAGTGCTATAGACTATAAAACATCACGCTACAATTAAATGTAGCCGAGCAGCGGGTGAAAGCGCGCGAGAGTAGCTAGTATCGAAATAAAAGTTAGGGACTATATTGGATAGGGGAGGAGCCTAATTGAGTCACGTTATGTTTGAATTTTACTTTTGAAATTTCTTAAAATTTTAATATCCAGATCCAAAACATCCCTATTCTGAAGACACGCGTGACTTGCTCGTCAGTACATTACCCTACTGGTGCAAGTACAATCAAGGTAAATAAACTAAACTCGACATGTTCCCTAGGCTAGGAGTGAAATAACATACATGCGTCGTCAACAAGTCACGTCTCTAAATCAATCACAAATGCCAAACGCACGAATGACGATTAATGACAGCGCCATCTAGGGAACAATACAGTCAGGGTTGCGGGGTAAGCGCAATGAGGCACCGCGACCTCGGCCTATAGCAGGAGAAGCAACAGGGGGTTTTTAGTCAGTAGGTAAGAGCACAGAGTACATTATTAGGGAAGAGTGTGAAAATTAGGTAATCTCGCCTAACCCTGAGCGGGAGAACCGAACTTATAATAAATAATTAATGATTTCCCCCTGACAAAAACAAGTCTAGTAAACAAAAACAGTAAATTAAAGATTGTTATTTATTTCTTTTCAACCATCTAAGTAACACATGGAATCGTATCATAATTTTTTTTAGTTCTGTAATTCTCTAACAATCTTATGGCAAGTTGCCTTTACCTACAAACTATACCAGAAAATAAATATTACAGTAAAACGCCTGTAAATAATATCAGAGCAAGGTAGCGTTGCTCATCAAATTATTGCTAATACGCGGAGGACAGGCGCTGACCTTTATACCGCAACTGTACACCAGATGTATAGATAGATGTCACATGTAACCAGGTTAGCTCCTTCAAAGGAGCTCTCTTGCTTGTAAATATGTACCTAAATATTAACAGGTACTGGATGGGAACTAAACTGATTTGCCTATAATATTATTGCGGCTTGTTACGTTGTTCTTGCTTTGAAGTGGATTTACAGTAGGTAGTTTCTAAGTTTTGCGCGTTACAACAAACTCTTTTTAACCAACTTCCAAAAAGGAGGATGGTTCTCAATTCGACCGTATATATGCTTTTTTTATGTTTTATTGCCAATATCTCCGTTTTTATGAACCGATATTATTATTTTTTTTTTTTGTTGGAACGGAGACAGTCTCAGAATGGTCCCATGATAGGGAAATTAGGATCTGATGATGGAAGACCAGAGAAATCGAGGAGAACTTTTTTGACAAATTTACAACTTGCCGATGTTCGAACCCGACCTGATGATAGGGCCAGAAGACAGTCGTGGGATCTCCTTGACTATTTGGAGTAGTTGTCTTGTGTTTAGGCTTAATTCATTTATATGGATGAGAACCTTGCACCTTTATGGATTATGTATAATGAAGGTCTGCAGTATACCTGATGATGGAGGTCATTGATATTCGAGGCAATTCCTCAATAATTTACGGCACTGAAAGCTGAGTAATTCAGGACTGCCATTACTGTGATTTTTGGTCTCAAGTAGCCGTCGTCTTCTCTTTCGAGATGCATCTTAGCTTTTGGCCTATCACTTAAAATGGTGAAATAAGATATTAAAAAGAAACCGACTTCAAAAACAAATGGCTCACACCTAATTAATTGCTAGTACTAAACACAAGTAAGGCTCTCTCTGGCGACTTTTTGTTACTGTCTCTCACAACGCGGTCACTGAAACTAGACTTCGTGATAGATAATGTTTTTTTAATGTAATAGGACGAGAACCGAGCTGCCGGATTACCATGATAGTAAGCCATCAGCTCCGCCCATGGACACCCGCAACACCAAAGGAGTTACGAGTGCATTGCCGGTCTTTTAGGGATAAGGGTTTCGAATTATTAAGTATTAGGAAGGGATTGCTCCTCCGGTAACCTCGCTCACACGGCGAAACACAACGCTGTGGTTGTTTTGCGGCGGTTTTCTGTGAGGCCGCTGTATCACACCGGTCGAGCCGGCCCATTCTTGAAAGAATATGACCCTATATTGGATGACTGTAAGTTTAATGTCTGGGTTTACACACACAGCTACATGTGAGTGTATGAGAGAGACAAGCTTTTGAAGTAGTGTGTGTACAGATAGGAGGATGGCTTGTCAAAGGAGTTGAGGCGGGCGATGCCGCGGTGCTCACTCAGCGAGAAAACATCGTCCCGGTTCGCCATAGCGCTCAATGTATTACAAAACAGTAACCTAATACACCTTTTTATCTTTACGCAAGAAGCATTATTCGTTCTTCAAGGAATCTATACCTACTTAAGCCATTGACTGCCTACAGATTACAGTTGAGGGCTAATCCTCCGCTAGTGTCGCCCACAGGTTGTCCCCCATAGCGTTCAACGTAGCTAAAGCTGAAGAATTTGTTTATTTGATTGAACGCGCTAACCTCGGAAACTACTGGACCTATTTCAAAATTGTTTTCACTGTTAAATAGTCCATTTATCGAGAAAGACTAAAAGCTGAAACATCACGCTATGACCAGAAGCAGTCGATAAACGGGTAAAGGGGGAGGAGATAAATAGGTAAACAGTTACATTTATGAGCAATTGGTAGTGTAGCGACATCTAGCGCACTACATTAACAACAGCACTAATCACGTGCAAGTGTCTACATCGCGCTATAAGAGTTTTCAACACAATTAGCATCCATACAGATATCCCGACAACAACCGTCGGGCAGTAGCCCACCAGGCACGAACACCTCGCCTGGTCGGAGGATCCTCCCTTTTCAATGGATGGTGAGAAACTTTCCACCCTGTTCCTCATACCTCTAAAGTAGCATTGTTTTGTTTTTGCTAATAATTTTATTTCTGCATTGTTCTCACTCACATTCGGGAGCAAAATAATGTATTAGTAAACTAGTCAAACAAATACCTTTTTAAAAAAAAGAGTAACGATGGAGTATCTTGCTCGTTCTTCTCCATTCGAAATACAATTTGGAACGAGCACCTAGCTTCACTGACGAACAGACTGACAGACTACTTCTCTATTTTGACGTTTCAAAAGTACTATTTATTTATAGTTTAGTTGGAATAAATGATTTTGGCTTTCATTTTTTTTTTAAATAAAACCTTGCCCCACTCTAGTATTATCTCCTGTGTCTTGGATACGTTTACAATCACACAATTTCACATACACACATCACACTTAGACACGGAACAACAATTTGTTTGGATCACACACAGAGTTACTCCGTGCGGGAATCGAAACCAGCAACCGCGCCAAACGTGCAGTCAATATAAGTCAGTTCTCATGAATGAGAAGTAATTCAGTTCCCGGGTCGCTAATACGTGCAGCTACTGGTTATTACTGTCCATGCAGTGCGGGGGTAGGCACTCAGGTACTCACGTTAGGTCATGCCTGGTTCGCCTGGTTCGCCTCGTGTGTCGTGTGTGGCGACGGCTGGGGGTAACTGAGCGATACAAGGGCCGGCGCCCCGACATCGACACTCACACGCTTCACTAGGTCGCGGGGCGCGAGACACAGGCGGGAGCGGGGAGCGAGATGTACACCGCTACAACAGCTTTTGTTTTTTATTTTTTTTATGTAATAGGTCGGCAAACGAGCAGACGGATTACCTGATGGTAAGCAATCAGCGCCGCCCATGGACACCCGCAACGGTGGAGTTACAAGTGCGTTGCCGACCTTTTAGGGATTAGGGATTTGGAGATTTAGGGATTGAGGAGGGATTGGGAGAGGGGAAGGATTCGGCCTCCGGTAACCTCACTCACACGGCGAAACACAACGCTGTGTTTGTTTCACGCCGGTTTTCTGTAAGGCCGTGGTATCACTCCGGTCGAGCCGACCCATTCGTGCCGAAGCATGGCTCTCCCATACTTATGTGATAGATCGGCTAACGACGCTGGCGGATTACCTGATGGTAAGCAATTAGCGACGTCTTGGACACCCGTAACAACGGAGGACTAGTGCGTTGCCTATGTTTTGGTGATTAGGGTTTTAGGGATTTAGGGATTGGGGGAGGGTAAGAAATAAGAATTAAGCCTCCGCTAAATGCATCCGCATGTCAATAACAGAATAAACGAAACTTTGAGTATAATTGAGTTACATTTTGAGGAAACTATCCCTCTTATACTCAAAGTTACGTTTATTATATTTTAAAACACGCGGAATGTCATTTAAACTACAACTTTACTCTACATAGTATAAAACAAAGTCGCTTTCTCTGTCCCTATATCCCTATGTATGCTTACATCTTTAAAACTACGCAACGGATATTGATGCGGTTTCTGTGATAGATACATATATATACATATAGTTAGTACCTATTTGAAACGATCAAGAGAAGGTTCTTTTAAAAAAATGTTTTAGAAACTTAAGTGAAAAATTTCGACATAGCAACCCTTTCTCGTCGTTAGCGAGATAGTTCGATATTCGTGCGAATGCTGAGACTGAGACTGGCCACTCGTTTATAATATAATATTGACAAGGCTTATCTATACTAATATTATAAAGAAGTAAAATTTGTAAGTTTGTATGTAGGGCGTAATCTCTGGAACCGCTGGTCGGATTGCCAAAATTCTTTCACTGATAGATAGCTACAATGTTCCTGTGTGCCATAGGCTATAAAACATCACGCTACGATCAAATGGAGCTGGGCAGCGAGTGAAACCGCGCGAGAATAGCTAGTATTTAATGTCCTTATAAATGATACATATAAATCTTGGTGCTATCGCTGCCTCGCGTCACTTGCGCCGCGGTGTAAGGGTGGCGCGGGGGCGCGGGGGCGCGGTGGTCAGTGGCGCATGCAACAGGTTCGTGCCTCCCTCCCTGCTACACGGGACCTTATAATTATATCATCACGCTGCTCGATTAATGAATTCTTACAAATTACAGACTTCTTGTTAAATTTAACTGTGGGAGAGCCTTGCTACGGCACGAATGGGTCAGCTCGACTGGTGTGATACCGCGGCCTCACAGAAAACCGGCGTGAAACAACCACAGCATTGTGTTTCGCCGTGTGAGTAAAGTTACCGGTGGCCTAAACCTTCCACTCCCCCAATCCCTAAATATCCAAATCCCTAATCCCCAAAAGGTCGGCAACGAACTCGTAAGTCCTTCGTTGTTGCGGGTGTCCATGGGCGGCGCCGATTGCTTATCTTTGTATTTTCAGAGAAACGTTTTTTTTTTCATTTCAACACTAACGTGTGAGGTTTATATTATTGGATTGGAAAACTATTTAAAAATGAATACAAGTTTACTAAGATCATTTTTTGATAACGTTTCTTAATAATTTCGGACATAAGCGCGAACCCCCCCCCCCTTTAACCATTGAATTCAATATAGAAAAAATCTCGAAAGTAGAACTCTATAAATACTTTCTAGGAAAATTTTATACAACTCGATGGGTTGAACGGATTTTTGAAATGTACAAAAAAATCTGAACTTATTTTGTAATTTAACCGTATTTTTCAACTTAGTTTGTATATTTAATAATTCTGTACATTTATCTTTATTTAAATAAAAAAGAAATATTAAAATTGGTTTACGCAATCCAAAATTACCACCAAAAACTTTTATACTTACATAACCCGTCTAGTTTGTATAAATTAGTAACCTAATTCCCTAAGAGATGGCGCTGTAGCTATATGTGCTGCTTACGCTGAATTGCGGTTTTAAGATTTACAATAATTGTTAACTGGGGATAACTACTTAATGTGACAGACGGGAAACTACGGAACCCTACACACACTGAGTGTAGCTTGATACGCTCTTGGCCGGTATTTAGTTAGTTAGTAAGTTACTTTAGTTTTTTTAAGTTACACTCCCTTTTACAAATTACCTACTAATACGACAGAATAGTCCACGTGGACTATGTGTCTCCGTAATCAAGTGGGTTAGAAATAGCAGATAAAAGAGTAAAAGGTTCAGGTTATGAGAGCTTTACTCGGGTTTATCACACCCGCTAGAAGAATAATGGTTGGTGACTATTGTATTCTACTCTGACGTAACTGTGTATATAACAACATTAAGTGCTCGTGTGTGTGTGTGTGTGTGTGTGTGTGTGTGTGTCAGTAATCGCGTTAGTTCCACTCGTTGCTAACGAACTCCCAATTATTGTGTTAACGATAGGCTCAACACAACCACTATGACCTGACCCCCGTACTAGCAGCATTTATATGGTTACCGAGTTCAAGTTATATTGGTCATACTTAGGAATGCACTTGATTTAATATTACACGGTATAAAAATACAAAATACATTCCGTGCGTGAACTATTACGTAAGTGTAAATGCCAGTCTAACAATATCGGTACTGGTACCTCATGTCTAATTTGATAATAACGCCATCTCTGAGACTAAAAAACAAGTGTTATGGATGCTTTTTTGTCAGAGGAAAATCATCAAATAACTTCTCCCGCCCAGGGTAAGGCGAGAGACAGTGTCAGACCTTTACTGACGACTAAAAACCCCCCCTGTTCCTTCTCTTGCTCTGGGCCGAGGTCGCGGTGCCTCATTGCGCTTACCCAGCAACCCCGGCTGAGCATAAGGTGTTATCGATGCTGGCAGACAGAACTCAGTGACACCGGTACAGACTGCAGAAAAACATTATTTAAGAGGGTAAAAAGTATCCCGTCTATTAGTCCAGATCCAGACTATAATCTATCTCTGTGCCAAATTACATTCAGATCCGTTCAGTAGTGTTTACGTGAGAGAGTAACAAACATCCATCCGTACTTACACAATGTAATATTTGTAGGGTTCTGCTTCTTGATGCCTTCTTGGCCTGACTAGATACTTGGGACGGCTCGTACAAACTTAAGGCAGGGTACCTGCCTTAAGTTTGTATGACAAGTTCTACCGGGTGAAGAAGTACGTAATGCATCCTTAACAAGATGAAACATACACACAGGAAGCGAACTACGAGTAGGTACCCAACAAAACAAAAGGGTTTGCACAGTTTGGCGCGGTGTTTCCGCACGGAACAACTCTTTGCGTTATCCACAAATTGTTGTTCCGTGTCTGGGTGTGATGTGTATGTGAAATTGTATGTTTGTTTAGAGGTATGAGGGAACAGGGTGGAAAGTTCCCAATCCTCCATTGAAAAGGGAGGATCCTCCGAACAGACGGGTGATATGTCTGGTGGGCTGCCCGACGGTTGTTGTCGGGATTTTTGTATCGCGCGGTTCTAATTGTGTTGAAAACTCTTATAGCGCGATGTAGAAACTTGCACGTGATTAATCCTGTTGTCAATGCTGTGCGATAGATGTCGCTACATTTGTAAACGCACCCACGACACAGGACATCCTAAAGTGGGGCAAAGTTTGTTAAAACAAAAGAAAAGCAAAATGCGTGTTGTAGTCTGTTGTAGCAGTCAAGGATGTGGAAGAATGGATGACGTCAGTAAATGTTCGGAATCGGAATGTAGTGTCGGCGGAGTTACGAAACGCCGTCCGTCGTATAAGCTGTAACCAATATTTGGGAAACAACCGGTACCATACATTTACACACCGCGGTACGGTGACCATACCGCGCTGTTACTAGGGACTGTCCACGTACGCTGGTGTTTATTTAGCCCGCTTTTTCTTAACTACACAAGTACATAATATCATTATGTTATCTATACTAATTATAATAAAGATTAAGAGTTTGTTTGTTTGAACGCGTCAATCTCCGAAACAGCTGGTCAGATTTGAACAATTATTTGTGTTGGATGGTCCATTTATCGAGGAAGGCTATAAAACATGGCGCTACGATCTATTCGAGCCGAGCAGCAAGTAAAACAGCGTGGTACCAGCTGATATAAAACAGAAGAATTTGTTCGTTTGTTTGTTTGAACGCGCTCTTCCTTGGAATTGCTGTTTTTTTTATTTAGGGCTGATTTTTGATTGGTTAGATAAAAGTTACCTGGGGAATAATACGGTAGTTTCCAACTAGTCAAATTCAATACTTTTATCCAAACGTCAAAAACGATACTTTTCTATGAAATTTGTATGAAAAACTGAGCTATGACGTCATAGTATTTTTGCGTCAAAAAGCTTACTTATTTCTTAAAAATTAGCTACAAAATATCTACTATCTACTTAGTGTATCGACAAATCGATGAATAAAAGTATAGTTATTTTTCTATTTTTGACCTAGGCAACTACCAAATTATGTTGCTGTCGCGTCACAATGTTTGTATAAGACAGTGATAGCAACAATTTTATTCCTCAGATAACATTTATCTGACTATTGAAAAATCAACCATTAATCAATTATTTACAGTTTCCCAATACAAACAACATTTTTAAGTACATAGGTACATACATATGCCAAATCCTTATTTTTATCATATCCCTGCGACATACACAACTCGGAAAAAGTTAGATTGTTCCTTGCCAAGTTACGAACTTTAAACATTTTGTATATTGAAAACAAATGTTTTTGTTTCGTTGTTTAAGATGAGCCGGTCCTCCCAGCTATCGACGCGATGGTCACCCTAGTGAACAAGTGAAAGTCCGCGGCGCGCCCTTCGGCCTTGTGTAGAAAGTTCACGGCGATTACGTGACGCGGCGCGCGCCTCCATGTGTCGATACTAGATACTAGTTATGTGAACAGTGAGCCGGGTGTACGGACCTCGAGCGACACGGAAGAGGCTGCGATAGGCAAAGATATCATTATAACCACGTCAATATAGGTATGAGGTTACTGTCTTAAACTAATTAGGTTCGGCCAATAATAAGCTAATGTTATACATATAATCATCATCATCATCAGCCTATAAGTGGCCATTGCTTAGCAAACATTTCGCACACGGATACTGTTTGAGCATTAACCACCACGCTTGCTCAAGAGCAGACGGATTACCTGATGGTAAGCAATCAGCGCCGCCCATGGACACTCGCAACGAAGGAGTTTCGAGTGCGTTGCCGACCTTTTAGGGATTAGGGATTTGGAGATTTAGGGATTTAGGAGGGATTGGGGAAAGGGAAGGATTGGGCCTCACATTGCGAAACACAACGCTGTGGTTGTTTCACACCGGTTTTCTGTGAGGCCGTGGTATCACACCGGTCGAGCCGACCCATTCGAGCCAAAGCATGGCTCTCTTACACTTAAACTACGGCCTCTATACTACGGCCTCTCAGTTAACCGTCGTAAAACAAAAGTGTATTTCGACGTGTGAGTGAGGGTACTGAGCCCCAATCTTGTTCTCCCCACCCCCAAATCCCCAATCCTCAAAACTTTAGACCCCGAAAAGCCTGATTACAGGTGTCCTTCGGCGGCGTTGATTGCTTACCATCAACCAGTCCGCCTGTGTGTCGACCTATCCATTAAAAATAAAGTAACACTGATAGTACGTGATTAAAGGTTGTCGAGTGGAGGCCATGTACCGGCAAGCGCAGCGTAGGATGTCCACCCGGAAGGTGGACAGAAGACCTGATTAAGGTCGCAGGAAGCCGCTGGATGCAGGTCGCTTCCAACCGGCCTATCTGGAAGTCAATGGGGGAGGCCTATATTCAGCAGTGGACGTCCTGTGGCTGATATGATGATGATGATGATGATGATAGTACTTGGCAGATTTCGGATCCTTTAATTTTTCAAAGGGGATCTTCAATTGTCTTGTCCCGCTCAGAGTCGGGCGACTGGGAGTGTCAGACTCTTACTGACTAAAAACCCCCCTGTTCCTTCTCCTGCTTCGAGGCGAGACCGATATACCCTGGCTTTGCGTCAGAAGTGAGCACCTTGACCTCCGAGCCACCAACTGTAATACACTGAATCATTTCGCAACAAAAATGTGTACAGCTGAACATTGCCACCTGAACATCTACTGTTACTGTTAGTGACTGTTAATGTTTGCTATTTGTGTTATTCATCTTATAACTTGAGAGACGTTCCAGGTCTTCCATGATACGTTTCATATTTGCCTGTAATTTTTTTTTTTATTTAATATCTCGGCAAACGAGCAGACGGATAACCTGATGGTAAGCAATCAGCGCCGCCCATGGACACTCGCAACGGAGGAGTTACGAGTGCGTTGCCGACCTTTTAGGAATTAGGGATTTGGAGATTTAGGGATAGGGGAGGGGGGGGGGGATTGGGCCTGCGGTAACCTCACACGGCGAAACACAACGCTGTGGTTGTTTCACGCCGGTTTTCTGTGAGGCCGTGGTATCACTCCGGTCGAGCCGACCCATTCGTGCCGAAGCATGACTCTCCTACACTTAATTATGACTACTTGACTGTTGTTACACGAATTCTTTGCGTAATTCATTCACAAAATAAAACGAAATATAACGCGCTCCTTCTGGCTCGATGTGAGGACGTACCGTGATATTTAACCTTTCGCTTTTCTCGATAAATAGACTAACAATAAAAAAAAGAATTGGGTAGTTTCCTGGGTCAAAAATAAATTAATTCGACGTTTTAATACAATAAACTATTGAAAAATAACTATATTTTTATTCATCGATCGATCGATACACCAAGTTTTAGATTTTTTTAGCTAATTATTATGAAATAAGTAAGCTATTTGACGCAAAAATGTTATGACGTCATAGCTCAGTTTTCCATACAAATTTCATAGGAAAGTATCGTTTTTGACGTTTGGATAAAAGTACCTATTGAATTTGACTAGTTGGAAACTACCGTATTGTTCAATACACGTTGTATCTATTAAATACTGAAGAAGTTTATAATTCATTTATTTAGTATCTGCATTGCAATGTTCACCCGTGTGAAGCCGGGTCGAGACACGCTAACCTAAGTCACATTTCACAATAAAACGCAAGTTCACGCGTTTCGTCTGACTCGAGTGAGGTTTGCGTAGATGTTACTTAGTAAGACTTTTTTTTTTACTTGTTATAAACTAGTGCTTGTCTGCGATCCCACCTGATGGTAAGCAGTGATGCAATCGTTGATGGTAAGGCGCACTAGTTTATTAAGAGCCTATTCACTAAGACGCACAAATATTCCACAACATGGAAAAGCGGTAATCTGTCAACTATTGTGGAACCATCTTTTTTTAAGTTTGGTAAATCATCGAAACGCTCCTCCCGCCCTGGATGGGGTGCGAGGGAGTGCAACCTAAGAAGAGTTACGAGTGCATTGCCAGCCTATTGGGGATTTAGGTAACTGAGATTTAAGGATTGGGGATTGGGGAAGTAGAAGAAGCATTGTCTAACCCCTGAACTGGATTTTTCCTTCACACGGTGAAACACAATGCTGTAGTTTCACGCCGGTTTTCTGTGAGGCCGTGGTATCACTCCGGTCGAGCCGAATCATTCGTGCCGAAGCATGGCTCTCCCATCGCTTGCACATTTGGATTTTCTCCTGTGTCGTGGGTGCGATTATGGACATACACATGACACCCACACCCGGAACAACAATTTGTGGATCACACAAAGAGTTGTTCAGTGCGGGAATCAAACCCGCGACACGTTGCACGTTACCCAGTTGTCCAGCCACCGCACCAACCGTGCAGTTGAAGACTGAAAATCGTCTCTAGTAGGCCCCATCACATCTGTGATTCTTTCCTGTAGACTGATTATGGAGCCCTTTGCGTCTTTTAATTACACATCAGAGAGTCTTTTACTTAATCAGTTAATTGACTCATCGCGTGTTGCTTAAATTGTAGCGAAACTAATACAACTCAGCTTATGAGAGAGCCGGACATGGCCGGATATCCTGCGAGCATGACCTAGCCTCGTATGTGGAGGTAATATTACGACATTAATCTAGCTAGACCACTAGACATCGGCAGCACACAGCAAATGCTGACTCAGTCTCCACGTCTTACATAGCTCTTGCACCATTACTGATTACACGGTTGGCGCAGTGGCTGGGCAACTGGCTGCCGTGCGACGTGTCACGGGCTCGATTCCCGCACGGAACAACTCTTTGTGTGATCCACAAATTGTTGTTCCGGGTCTGGGTGTGATGTGTATGTGACATTGTATGTTTGTTAACGCACCCACGACACAGGTGAAAATCCTAGTGTGAGGCAAAGTTTTTTTTTAAAGTTACTTATGAACAAGCACAAGCTTTTGAGTAGCATTTCCCGGAGCTTATTGTGAGAGAGTCATGCTTCGGCAAAAATGGGTCGGCACGACAGCAGTCATAAAACGGCTTCAAGAATAACAGCGTGAAACAACCACAGCGTTGTGTTTCGCCGTGTGAGTGAAGTTACCGGAGGCACCTTACCTGAAATCCCTAAGTACCTATGCCTACGCCCTTGTAGTAACTGCGTTGGTATTACGAATGACCACGGGCGGCGCCTACCCGGTTTTTTACCCGGACGGCAAACGAGCAGATGGATAACCAAACAGGTAATGATGGTAAGCAATCGCCCGCCTACCGCCCCCAAATAAGCGCCGCCCATGAACACCCGCAACAAAGGAGGAGTTACGACGTACGTTGTAGATCTTCTGGGGATTGGGGTGTGGGGTCCTTTGGTATTACGAATGCTCATGGCGTCGACCGGGAGTTTATATTGATGAGGTAGACTTTGCAAACTAGCTGGAAGGCAAACAACGCCAAAAAGAGTTATAAGTTAGTGTCAGCGTTTTAAGGATTAAGAATCTAAAGATAATGGGATTTGGACCCACCAACAACTCAACGGCCACCTTAAGCGCGGGTCTGCGGTCGGCGAGTAAGGGCAGCTCGCCGCCCGACCAGAACCAGACCCGAGTGTACGGCCCTAAAGGGCTGATGTTCAGCCGGCGTTGCGGGGTAAGCGCAATGAGTCACCGCGACCTCGGCACAAAGCAGGAGAAGGAACGGTGGAGTTTTTAGTCAGTAAGAGTCTGACACTCTCTCATGAGGAGAAACCATTTGATGATTTTCCCCTCAAAAAAAAAAATGCAACCAAATAGAGTTGTAGCGACATCTGTCGCACAACATGCAGCAACAACACCAATCGCGTTGAAGATTCAGCATCGCTTTAACAGTTCTCGACGCAATTAGAATAGGCACAAACAAAGCCCACCAGACACTATGCAACCGTCTGGTCGAAGGATCCCCCTTTTCAATGGAGGATGAGAAATTGTAATCCCTTCTCTCCCTCCTAAGGGTCTCCACAAGTTCAAATACGTAACGTTAACGTTGTTTCACGATGGTTTTTATGTGAAGCCATGGCCCGTAAGAGGCGACGCGACACATGGATCAAACACTTATGTTGATAGGAAATGGCGAACTTATCTAAATTTTCTTGGATTACCTGATGGTAAGCAATCAGCGCTGCCCATGGACACCCGCAACGGAAGAGTTAAGAGTGCGTTGCCGACCTTTAAGGGAGTAGGGATTTGGAGATTTAGGGATTGGGGAAGGGGAAGGATTGGGCCTCCGGTAACCTCACACGGCGAAACACAACACTGTGGTTTTTTCACGCCGGTATTCTGTACAGGCCGAGGTATCACTCCGGTCGAGCGTAGACATTCGTGCCCAAACATGGCTCTCCCACATTTTAAATTTGATAAACTTGATAGGAAATGGCGAATTTATCTAAATTGTTTATTAATATGTTGATGTAAAAGTAGTATAAAGTGTAATGGCGGCCCGCGCCCCGCGGCGACGGATGTTTGCCGCGTTTCTATAACTCAAGCAAACAACAATCGCGCGCTGATCCTTGCAGCGGCGCACCTCGCGTTACATCACTCGCCACTTTCACCGCGCGCGCCTCGCGACAAGGTCACTGCGGCACCTGCCTACAATGGGAGCTTCACCACACCACTGTCCACAGATTATATATTTGTTGCGTCACTGAAACAATTTGAATAAACATATTATTTTAGTGTGTCGTTTAGTTGATTTTATTAAATTGTTCTAAGTATCATATGTAATGAATATAGGCAATATTCATTTGTTTTGCGTTGTTGGATACGCTTTCTCATTTACATATGTGAATTGCTGAACTGATTCTGATGAACTTTGCCAGGTAATTGTATGTGGAAGTTTTGATATAACACAGTAAGGATTATTTTTAAAGTTAGATTGTTTTGGTATTTTATAAGTAAAAGATACATTAGGATTTTCTTCTGTGGGTGTATTTACAAACATACAATTTCACATACACAATACATCTAGAGCCGGCACAACAATTTGTGGAAGGAGTTGAAGAATCGAACCTGCAACACGTTGCACTGCAGCCGGTTACCCGGCCACTGCAATCAAGATGCCTACAAGACAGAGTTTATAATGCTACTAGTAATACGGCTTTGCTCGGGAGAACCGTGAATGGAGTAGTTTTCAAACAGACTGATCTTGACCTATATAATACTATTCATTGGAAATTGGCAGTAATACCAGAGTATTCAAAATGGTCCTTAGTGCGACGTGACGCGGCCAGCACACACAGATCGTAAAAACAAAATTTTTTCTGTTCGAAAATTAGTAATTTATATCAATTATTATAAGAAGCCTATGGATTTTTCGCAGTGTTTTTTGCTAGTAGACTCTTCCATAACAACCTTTGAATAAGGTTATGAAATTAAAATAGATTTTACTTACAAGGTCACGCTTTTTAGCCGTAAGTAGGGGTGCAGAAGCCCACATTATGCAGCACCTGATACGACAGAAATAATTATAAGACATTTTTATTTGCATAGAATGTAGGTAAATATTAATAAGATATTAACAAAAGTTAAGAAACTATGTAAATTCTACCTTCGGCATACAAACATTTATGGGTAGACCACCGTACAGTACAATTAATATTTATGTTGTACTTTGATTACCTGATGGTAGGCAATCAGCGGTGCCCATGGAGTCCCGCAACAGCGGAAGA